TGGGAGAAGACTTGTGTGCCCCCACTGCATTGATTGCAATTTCGTTTTCACAGTTCACATGTTTCACCCATGTTTCGTCACCAGTAACGATGCGATCGAGTAAAGAGTCACCATCCTTATGGTAAGCGTCCAAAAGTTCAACGCTGCAGCCATTCGCTGATTTTTGTGGTCCCTCTGTCAAGATTTTTGGAATCCATCTTGCACAAAACTTGTGGTAACCAAGCTTTTCGCTGATGATTCGTTGCAACAAACTTCGCGAAATTTGTGGAAAACTCAAAGAAAGTTCCGTTATTGTGAATTTCGATTTTCACGGACTTTAGCATCAACTTTTTCGAGAAGTTCGGCGGTCACTATGCTGGGTCTCCCACTTCGATCTTCGTCGTGAACATTGGTTCGGCCATTTTGAAACTTATGACCCACTGACGCACTCCACCTTCAGTGATAATGTTTTGTCCCCATACACTTCACGAAGCTGCCGATAGATTTCTATCGGTTTACAGTTTTTTGCAGTCAGAAACCTTATTACTGAGCGCACCTCGCAGCTCGCGGGATTTTCAATTAACGCAGACATTTCAAACCGTCACAGTATCTGAACGGAGCACAGCACGAACCTCTCACTAGCACGGCTAGATGCAGACTGAGCTGCGCAACGCTCTGACCCCAAGAAGGCCGCGCTAGCCCCGCCCCTAGCGGACACAGACGGAAACGTAATCTACTTCCTGGATGGCCCTCGTAGATCGTCAACATCCCGAGCTGGTTGGAGGGCCCTGCCCATAATGCTCCAAACATGCTCAATAGGAGAGAGATCTGGTGACCTTGCTGGCCAAGGTAATGTTTGGCAAGCACTAGAAACGTGCAGTGTGGGGGTGGGCATTATCTTGCTGAAATGTAAGCCCAGGGTGGCGTGACATGAAGGGCAACACAACGAGCCTTAGAACTTCGTCGACGTACCACTGTGCTGTAGGGTTGCGACAGATGACAACCAAAGGGGTCTTACTATGAAATGAAATGGCACCCCAGACCATCACTCCTGGCTATCTGCCAGAAGACAGTCAAGTTGGTATCACACCGCTGTCCGGAGCGTCTCCAGACTCTCCTTTGCTGGTCATCGGGGCTTAGTTCAAAGCAAGACTCATCACTAAAGACTATTCTACTCCAGTCAGTGGCATTCCAGTGCAAATGATCCCAACACCACTGCAAACGGGCTTGACGTTGTATAGAGGTTAATGGTAGTTGGTGCAAGGGGCACTGTGACCTCAGTCCCCTTTCTGTGAGCCGTCTATGAATGGTCCACTGAAGCACTAGTTGCATGTACAATCGATGATAATGATGCATTTGGGGCTGTGAGTGCCGCTCTGACGATTGCTTGGTCTTCACATTCTGTTGTTTCTGTAGGCCTACCGTTTCCTTGTTGATGCTGTATGTGGCCATGGTTCACACATTCCCGCCAACATCGTTTAATAGTGGCATCGCTCCTGTTCAAATGTCGAGCTATTCACCGATAAGACCAACCGGCTTCTTTCGGCCTAACTACACGACCTCTCTCAAATTCTGACATCTGTGCATATCGTTCGTGCACGTGCATGTGAGGCATAGCTACTGTCAACCAGAGTACACGAAATGAAATTTGTGAAGAATTTCTGACCTGGAATCGTAATTTCTCCTCTTAAATATCCTGCCAATTGCGCAGATTAGATGCGCTGTAGTGACAACCGTTCATTCATTGGCAGTCAAAATGTAAAATTTTGCATTTTCCATCGAAACCTGTATGCATATCAATTTGTGTCCAATTTCCTTTATATCTTTTCCTTTATATATATATATATATATTTTTTTTTTTTTTTTTGTTTGTTTGTCGAAGAGTGTAGATTGAATGCACAGTGAATGATGATAGCTTAATAAAGTTTATTTTCCAAAAGATACCTCACAGCTCTGGAACTTTTCACGAAAGTACTCATGTGGCTCTTCTCAATATGACAGAGCTCGATCAGTACTTAATACTCCAAATTAATCAGAACATTAAACTCAAATGCAATGCAAAGTGCATCTAAACTACAAAGCTTGTACGAATATTCAGAACTCAACTCTGAACTAAAAACTGAGTCTGTCTTGTATAGTTTTTTCTGGCTGCTGAAAAAGTTTCAGTACCTTTCATTTTTCGAAATTACTGGAAGGCATATACAGTTAAGTTTACATATAAGCATATAAGGGTTGGATACAGCTACAGTTACATATAGAGATCAATTATAGTTATTGCATAAGAGTACCAATTGCAGTTATACAAGGACCTGAACAAATAATTGCCAAATGCTCATAAAGTGTGGCAACTTTTGGCACGTTCTTGGCGTTTAAGGACGTAAAGTCCTTAAAATTCCTTTGTTTTGGAATTGATTTTTGGTCCTAAAAAGTTCTTAATTTCAGCCAAAATCAGCAGATGTCCTTAATTTTAATCATTTCTGCCTGTTTTTATACTGCCATTTTAAATGTGAATTAGCATTTTGGAGAAATTATTTTGGTGATTCATTGACAAATATAGTTATTTTTGAATGGGTGAATAGGTTCATGCATTATAATTTGTTCGTATTTCTAATATAAACAGTGTGATACTCAAGTTTCTAAGCAAGAAGTGAAACAAGCATTTCGAAATTATTTCATTTTTTCTAATGGGCTCTTAAACAACTTTTTTTTTTTTTCTTCTGGGATTGTGAATTCTTTTATTAAACGTTTCTAAATTTGGCAATTATCAAGATTTTGACCATTTTAAGGCCGGTTTCTATAGAAATTTTTATTTTTGAAATGTAGGAATCTTTCGATTATATGTTTTTTAAAACATTACAGTATTGATAAATTTTATCAAAATAATGCTGTTATATTGAAATTATAGTCAAGAAATAACATTAAAATGAAACATTTTCATTTTTCGCTATCATATTATAAAGTGATATTACTTTCCATTTTGGCAACTTATTATACAATATTTTGAATCAGAAAAATTAACCAACCGTGCCTACATCAGGCTTTCAGGTTTGTTTTAATCAGCAGGTCTCTCTCTTGGCAAGTGGTCCACCAGCGGCCGAGCGGTAAAGACTCTGAACACTGGTAGTTCGGTCCGAGGTTCGAATCCCACGAACGTGCTGGCTGCATGGGCGTTTTCGTGGTTTTCCTCATGTGTAACATATATACGAGCCAGTTTCCCTTAGAAAGTCCTCCACGAAGGCATTCCTCCCTTTAGGCAGATAGCCCTCGTGTGTGCTTTGCCATAATTAAGTAATGCAATCCAATTCTCTCTAGGCAAGCAGTAGCAGTGGCAACATCTTCTGTTACGAATTATGCTGAATATGATTTTACTTCTCATTTTAACCTGTAGTGTTTGACATAAAATATACCTGCTATTTACTAAACCTCTAAAATTACCAACTGTGTGACAAAAGGAGAAGTAAAAGGGAAAAAAAAATCAACATAAAGCTAACTGTTAGAAAAACTTAAATAAAATGTCACTAATCTTTTTTCAAATATGTCCAACTTTATCCAACAAATATGTAATGCTACTTGATAAATTTGATTTTATTCTCAGATTTGTTTTATAGTTATATTTATTAAATTGTATTTGATAGTAATGCATTCTACCTGTGGGTCTAATTTATTCTTAAGCTGGTATTATAAAAGTGAAGTTCTGGCATAGCTAATATATTTAATTGAGTTTATTCAGTTCCCATTTGTTAATGGGTCCTTAATTTTTTTCATTAATAGTCCTTAAAAGTACTTAATTTCCATGTGCAGAAATGTGTACAAACCCTGCCACTTCATCCCTCTTATAGAATGGAATGTGACAACAGGTAACAAGCCACTCTTGCTTTTCTTTAGGACCACAGTTGCATGTCCCTGCATATCACAGCAAACGAATAACAGTTGTAAAATAAAAATAAGTGTCACAGCAAATGAATAAATAATTTTATAGTCGAAAATAAAATCTCGGAAAGTCAAAAACTGTAATAACTATGACTTGTTTTAACTAGTACTTCGTTATTTCTTGTACTTCACTATTTGGAGTTTTTTATGAGAAGAAATTTATACTTCAGGCAGAATGCCATGAAAAACTTCTCTAAACAGAGGAATTCATAAAAGAGAATGTTTGTTAAATAGAGGTTTAACTTTATATTGAAAAGGATTTCTCTTTGTATAGAATTACATTTGTAAAATCCCAGCTGAATATGCATTATTGTTTGTCTTTTGCTTGCAGTGATAGATCTGAACTGTGATTAATAGTTCCAGTTTTATAGGTTTAATCCAGTTTACAATTGGCAAGTGCACACTTAGGATTTTTAGTATTTTTCATAGAGTAAAACTATTGTTATCCTTTTTCAAATTGGTTTTTCACTGTTATTTTATACATTTGTTTATTCCAAATCAAATACTACTAGAATTGAATTTTTAACTAAGAGTATATGGATTAAGTAGTCATGTGTACCATATGATTTTCTAAGATATGCTTATTGTATCCTCATTCTTCTAGAGTTATTTGACACATCTATCTCACATAGCCTTTGTTTAGGACCCAGAGAAAAGTGGGGGGGAAGTTAAATGTAAAGTAACCTAAAGGTGTTTTTTCTTTATGAATGAACTGGGGAATGTGAATGCGAATATTTTAAACATGGATGATTTTTTTAATAGTAATTAATTCATTAAAACTTGTAGAAATTTATGCTTTTGAAGATTCTCTGTAGTAGTATAAAATAATATTATGTGTATACACAACTGGATGGGACCAAAAACTTAAAAAACTGGCTGTTCATTATAAGCCAGGTTCATTATAGTAAAATTTAACTGTATCTATAAACAAGTAGAATTTGATAACCTTTTTAGAGTTTAACTTATAGTCATTTTAAATTTTATTAAATAATGTAACTAATTTATTTTTGAGGATGAAATTATGATCGTGTATAGAATTTTTAAATTTGTTCTTTGTAAATACATTCATAAATTTTAATTTCTTATTTCAGGCTAAGACAGCTGTGCGGGCTATGTTGCCAATGGGCTTACATGAATCAATTAGCAAACTTAGGTCTAGTGTAGCATACGCAATATCAGCTGTAGCTCAATGGGATTGGCCTGAACAGTGGCCTGAACTTTTTGAAATATTATTACATAGTTTGGTTAGTGAAAATAGTTTTGCTGTTCATGGCGCAATGAGGGTTTTGAAAGGTAATTATTTATGTGATTTATTTGATAATTTCTTGTGAAAAGCATTTATCTTTTTCCTCTGTATGATTGAAATTTTATGTAATTTATTCTCGTTAATTTTACTGAAATATTTATATTGTGTACATTATATATTAACAGTTGATAACAATTATATTAACAGTTGATAACAATATAAAATTATTATATTAACAGTTGATAACAATATAAAATTTTGCTATTGTTTGATAATAGCAAAATTTTATATTGTTATCAACTGTTAGAAATTGATTAAGTGAAAATTTAAGCCTTTTTCATGTTATGGTTCTGGGATATGCTGCCAAAAGTACAATAACAGGTTTCATTCATTATTGTCTTTTGCTTTGTCACTAAGGAAGAAATTTATTAGTTCTTTTTTTTTTATTATTTTGAGGTGGCAGGATATTGTAAACTTTTAAATAATAATAATAATAATAATAATAATAATAGGGGGAAATATAGCGGACAATTGAATTTTTAAGATAAAAAAATTAGTTGTCTGAGATTAAACAGTGTCAGATTATTAGTTTGTGAAGGATCACAAGAAGGGTATTTCCTCATGCAGACTAAATAAACTGAAATCAATTATAGGAAAACATTTCAGAAGGCTCTTTTTATTCTTTACAAAATTGGAAGTATCAACTGTAGCTGTTGTTTCTGATTTGTTGTATAGATAAAAATATAAATAATTCATATTTCATAAAAGTAAAATAATTCTAAAGAATGAAAACATTTTTGCTTTGATTTTTATTTCATTTTCCTTCATGTAAAAAGAGAAAACCAGATAATATGATCTAGTATTTTAAGAATATGTGTAGGTGCAAATTTTTGTTCTGCAAATATGTCTTGAATGTAAAAGTGTTGTTTTACTTTGAAGTAGTGTCTTACGTAAGTATGTACTGTAATTTTGTCATAAGTTTATTATGGTTATTTGTAGCATCACCTAGGGATGTCAAATATTTTCAAATATTATTTTCATAAATATGAATTATTCTTTTTATCAGGTATTTGTAATTGCATAACATCAAGTTTATGCTGCTGTATGGTATTGTCAAGTATTTGCAACTCATAAATATGTAAATCATCAGGTATTTTTAACTACCAAATATTGACAAGTATGTGTAAGTGCACAGTATATAGTCCAATATTGTAACTACCTAGCATAATACATATTTTATCTTTCCATGAAGTATCTATCTGGTATTGTATGAGAAGTATTTTTTAAAGAAGGACTATAATATAATAAAAAATGAAACATTAAATATTTGAGGTACTTCATTTTTTCATATTTTCTTCCTTCATTTTTTTTATTTATTTCCAGACTTTTGTACTATTTTTCCATATTTTATTTTGTCATCTATCTGTTTTCAGATGGTTTTCCTCATAGTTTCTATTGTTGAAATATTTGTCACAGCATCAGACAAGTTTTCATGGACTTGTTCTGTACAAATTATGTCACTAAGAAAATAATAATTTTCTTTCGTTGTCATCATTTAACCCATGCTCAGTCTTTCTCGATGATGCAGCTCAACAGTTTATTGCTATCCTCATGGCGTTGTTTCAGAAATGTTAGATTACTGGCTAATCTCAGAAAGGATCCTAAGAATCCAATGAGATTGTAATTTTCTTTATATCTCAAGTTTTCCCAGCACAATTTTGTAAAGAACTTACCTTGAAATTTGTGGGAAGTTTACTGATAGCAGGGAAATGTTTAATTGTCTATTTTATGGGTCATATTGTCTATCACACACACGAGATCATTGGTGATTAGAGATAGCATGCTCTTTTGTAGTTTATCATGTGTATTCTTCCAGCCTTTTTTAAACAGTCTTAACCTTTTAAATAGTTTACCATCATTTGTACCATTTGGACTGGTAACTGCTAAGCATCCACCCTGGATGGAATTCCAAAGGTCTACTGCTCCTCTTTCCCTACCACCAGCCTCTCGAAAGGACTTCTGCCCATCCCATATTTTGAGTATTCCCTTGCTGCAAAGACACTGTATGACAGGAGTGGTCAAACTTTGTGGCAGTAAAGCTGCATTTGAGAATTCAGAAAATTTCAAGAGCCACAATTATGTATTTATGTAATTAATGTGATTACTTATTAACTATAAATAAGAACTTCTATTTCTCTTGCTCTGCATTCAGGAAAGTTGTTCCTATGATATGCAAATTTAAAATTACTGTAAGAAGCAACTGAACATTCTCTTTCAGACAGAAACATAAGCGTATTCTTCAACCTGTTCAGTTTAAAATTTTTGACTAGCTTTAGCGGAGATAAATTGAAATTGAAAGAAGGAATTTAAATTGTCTTTGTGAGTATTATACTGTAGAAATGCTTTCATTTGAATGGAGAATAAAGCACTAATATGAAAATTAGATTCAATAATTTTTCTCTATCTCATATACATTTCTTTGGAAAATAAATGAAATGGGACAGTGTGCACTGTGATGAAATTGCTATTCCAAAAAAGTTTATTTGAATATGGCAAAAATCATGAGGAATTGGTGCTTTTGTTGAGAACTTTCTAAGTGAAACTGCCTTGTACATATGTCATTTGATGAAAAATTGCTTTAAAAATAACCTTTCAGTTTTCTTGGAGTTTCACATAAAAAAATTATAATTCTATGTTTCCTCTGCAAGTAATATGAGAGCCAACATACTGACATAAAATTTAAGTAGTTGATTTAATTATTTAAGTACAAATTAAATATTCAGTTATAATTTGTTTTTTGTAAACGTGGGACATCTGGATTCTGATTCCACGAATCTCCAAAAAGTTAGTAATTTCCAAAGCTCGAGCCTTAGTGCCTTTTTTATCATTCTAATCCTAACTTAATAAATCACTGAAAATTTTGCACAGAATTTTGGAAGGATTAGTTGTATGACACTCGATAGAAACATACACTAAAAAATGAGAATGGAATTGTTCTAATTTTGTTGGTATGGTACCTGAATCCTTAAAATCACTTTGTGACAAGCTTAAGTGCCATACTGTTTCAATAAAGCATCCAATGAAATCTGCAGAATTATCAGATGAGTTGCGCTTTCTAAAAACTATAGAATCTTTCCAATAATTCTGGATATTTCCAATAATATGGATTCTGGATATATATAGATCTTGGAGGGTTCTAACAACTCATGGCATGGCATGTAACATCTCAAATAAAATATAATTCCAAGTGTATACCATATGGAATTACTCAGCCACGGTTGCTTAATTTTTAACTGTTAATTGAAATTTGAGGTGTTACTCAAATAAGTTTGTCAAATCACATTGAAAAAATGAACCCCAAGATTCAAGAGTTTAATTATGGTCCTCATTCACAGAATTTTATTGACATCCTTTTTAACCCTCTGATTGGTAAAGGCTGTATACATACGGCATAGAATATTTTTTGTGATGTCTAAATGTTTGAAGAATGCATATATATATGTGTGTGTGTGCATTTTGAAATATATCCAAGAAATTAAGGCAATATATTAAAAGTACATAAATCCAGATATAATGTGCTTGGAACATTTTGACATTAAAGTTAAGAAAATAACTTTTTCTTATTGTAGTTTTCTGAAACGTGGGCTTTCTTAGTGAAATCCTGGCCTGGAGTGATGGTTAATAAGAATCGGTAGATTTAAAAATGTGTATTCTTAAATTTGGTTTTCGTTAAAAATTAATTAATAATATTTAATGATAAGTAAAAGCTCTTTTTTTTCCTTCCCCTGTCTTATTCTTTTTCGAAAGGATTCAAGTTATGTGAAGTTGAAGGTTTATATGAAATACTACAATAGAGTTTATAGTGCATTGCATGCCATTTATGGTAATAATGCAGTGGATCACAGTGATCTTTTGTTGAACTATCTGCTTTCATGGAGAGTATGTCAAATATGCAAGAGGATTGAAAGCCAGGGAAACACCTACTGATGAAGAAAGCACCATGACACTTGTAACAAGCTAGAAACATAGGATATCATCCAGCAGCATGCAAACAATCTTGGCAATTTCAGTAGCATCAATAAACAGCATTTTGAAAAAAGCTTACTAGAAAAAAAAATATTTGTACAACAAGTTCCTTACTGTTTGATGTAACTTTTTTGGAATGAAAATTTAATAATAAAAGATATTTGTCTAGAATAGTGTGATAAAACATTGGTTAAAAACTTTGAATCAGAGTTAAAATAACTGTTAATCCTGTGAAGAAATGCAACTTTTTCACAACCCCAAAACGTTTGACATGCACTGTTATAGGTGAAGTGAATGCTGATCTCTGCTTAGGATTTTGAAAATGGAAGATATTTGCAAGAATGCTCAGAAAAAAGCACAAACACTATCTAGTTTGTTTATACTTAAGGATGGACATTTTCAATGCTAATCCATATCACCTGCATGAGAAAGTTATCACAGACCTACTGACCATATACAAGTGAGGAATTTTATTTCATGTGTCATGAATTAGATGCATGAATCTCCAGATCTAGAACACTTCCCCATTTGCAGAGCTGGGGTAAATAAATAAACACATGCTTAAGACCTCAAGAAAAGGGGAACCACAAGTTTCTTAGGCAGTCAAAAAAGGATAGGATAGCACGGACATTCCTCATCGCCAGTTTTACCTTGGAATGTATGGTGTAGTTCAACCAAGACTGAGAGAGAATAAAAGGGAACGAAAAAAGAAAACAGATTAAAATGTACTTGGGAGCATTAAAATCTCTTAAGTGCTTAGGGCTTATAAAAGTCTTAATCCTTTCTTGACAGTTGAAGTAATGTAAACATCTTTCTTTCTTGGAAAAGGAGCACAAAATCTTTTTGAAAGATTCAGCAACTGACAAAGCCATTTTAGGACTGAAAAAAATGCAGTACTCTACGAAGAATACCAAATCTTCTGATGCAGGGAACTAAATGGAAGTGTTGTAAGGAGAAACTGCTTAAAATAATAAAAAACCTGAGAAAGAGAAACATTTAAGAGTACATAATATTTAGATAACTTTTGTATTTGTCTTTTGTGCCGCCCCAGTGGTCATTACAAGAAGTCACAGAAATGGAATTATTTGCTATTTTGTTCATAACACTTCCAATTAACCAAAGATGGGCAGTTTGAAATTGATTAAATTATTATGTATGTAATATATAGAAATTAAATTACTTATTGATAAAGAAATGTGTCATTGCATGCTTTCTATTTCAAAATGCAGTTGTAATTCAGACATAAAATCAGTATTTTTGGCATGAAAATCTCATTTAAAAGGCCAAAGAATGACATACAGCTTACAAGCCCCAGTTAAGTGGCTTAAGAGCCACAGTTTGGCCATACTTACTATATGCTTACAAACATCCACGATTTCTCTGTTATTCGAACCTAGGCCCTTCAATATGGCTGTCAGCGTCACTAGCCACTATCCTATATGGGAAGCATACCATTTGGACTTTGCACTCTACAGATTTGGTACCGAATTTTTGCTAGCATTACATTTTTTATGCTCAGAAAATGAATAACAGGCTTTGTTTCACAGGGCTGAAATATGCACTTTTCTTTTATCAGTAGATCAAATATAGTGTCCAGTAGTTCATACCTCTTTGGGAATATGTAAATTGTGTGGAATCATTGGTTCAGTTGAGAGTTTGACAATTTTAGACTATTGTGTTGTTATTATTATGGTGTTGCATGAACAATTTTCATGTCATTTTTTTGGAAGAAAACTAAAGCATTAGTTTAAATAATTAGATCAGATAAAGAGAGACTGTACTTTTATTTTAGCAGTGATTAGTAACAGCTTTACCAGATGAAGGATGCAGTTATAAATGGTTTGAAGATAACAAATAATGCTGAAATTCATCTTAACAAATAACAAATATTACAATTTAGAAAATTATGTACTGAACAAAGACTAAAAATAACTGAATAATAGCATAATTTGAAATCAGACCAAATCTGAGCATTTACTTCATAATGCTCTGCAGCTCTACTTTGTTTTCATTTTCTATTGTTGCCAAAGGGGAAAGGGAAGTACTACTGAAATTTTCTGAAGAAATTAGTCCTAGGACTTCAAATATATGCAGCTTGGAAACTTCCAGAATGTTTTGCAGTTGTTTATAGTTACCTTCTTGATGACAAAAAATTTATTGCGAGAGTTTGGTAGTATAATCTGTTTACATCACCAGTTTCCCTTAAAATATTTTCATAATTCCAAAATAGTTTATACAGAATTACTGGCTCTACAAATAGAGCAATTAAATACATACAAATAAAATAAGGGGTTACAGATTAAAAACTGCACAAAATAAACAAGAAGTAAATATAAAATATGAAGAAAAAAAACAGAAATATGCAATAGCACAAAATGCTTAAAAGCTAACATACAGCAGAATATAAGAAAGTATTCACATAAATTACAAAAGTATGATCGGGATCATCTGTATGTGAAAGTAAGTAAAAGTGATTTATGAGGGTACAGGTCAAAGAATTAAAAAATAGCTTCTACATTTACTGCTAAATATGAAAATTTAATGTTAAAACTTTTCTAAGATACATTTTTTGTATTATTTGATTCTTATTAATTAGTATGGTTATAACCTTAATTAAGAAACAATAACACGCCGAACAAATACTAATTCAGAAGTCAAACAACAAAAATCAGTGTTGTATTTTCAAAATTTTCACAGGACTAGTTTCGATGGTTTTACCGAACCACCATCCTCAGCTGTAAAACCGCAAATGAACAAGATAGGAAATAATGATTCGATAAGATAAGAAAGCCTGGACAAGAATAAGCAAGTGGCGCCATCTGTTGATGAAACCAGAACTAAAACATAATTTCCTTAAAGGCCGAAAGCAAAGATGGATTAGAATTAGAATTGTTATCTAGAACAGAAAGATTTTTTTGAATGTGAAATGCCTCTAGAAAATCCAGTTCTCCAATGGAAGATGTTTTTTGAATAATTTTGGCAGCAGAAAATTTGAAAGTGGGATTTTTGGACCAACAATGTTCAGCAACAGAAGACTTCTGTGTTTCCTTTTTTCTGACATATGCCTCATGTTCCTTGATGCGAAATTTTAGGGCTCTCTTAATTTGGCCAATGTAAATTAAACCACACTGGCAAGGAATCCTATAAATAACCCAGGAATTCATATCCAGAATGGAGTCCTTGAGTATGGAACTCGGAATTTTATTGATGGGAGAATAAACAACCCGAAAGTTAAATTTCTGCAAAATATGTGCATCTTTATAGCTAATTGATTTAAAAAAGGGAATGACAACAGAATTTTTATAATCTCCTAAAACAAGAGTGTGCTTTTTTAGTGCGTTGAAATGAGAATTTTTTAACTGCTTGGGTGAAAAGCCCCTGTCACTAGCTATTGATTTTAAATAATTTAGTTATTCATCAAGAGATAGTTTGGAGGAGCAAACTTGAAGAGCACGGAAAACATAGGAATAAAATGAAGCTAACTTTTGTTTAGTCGGATGACGTGATTTAAAGTGTGATGGAAGGCAAACCGATGAAGGTTTACGGTAAACCGTAGTACTGAAGTTGGATGTGTTATGTGTGACCAGAATGTCGAGAAATGGAAGAGGATTGCAAGTCTCAAGTTTAAAAGTGAACTGAATTACAGGATCAATAGGATTCATTGTTGAAAGAACTTTATTTAAATCATCTTTATTACCTTCAAACAGGGTAAAAGTATCGTCTACATAGTGGAACCATGCGGAGAAGTTTGAAGTTTCAAACAATTTTGATTCATAATAATGCATGTAGATATCAGCCAGAATGGGACTGAGGGGGCTTCCCATGGCTAGATGAAGCTTATAGAGTTCATGTTAAATTTTGGATAATTGTTGATGTGTATGCCTTATGATGGACTGAAGTAAGGCAAGCTTGTAATTTAACAGAATTCTTGGAATGCGACTGGAAGATTTTTGATTAGATTTAATTTGAATAAAATTCGGGATCAATTTTTTACATTTACATTTAAATAAAAAGTCAAGATGATTCAGGAATTTTTGCCGTTTCAGCCATAATTTAGTGAAACGATTAATGGATGAAGGCATGATAAACAATGCAGAAAATCAAACTAAATTAACTAAGCAATAATGAAGCACACACAAAACAGCAGAAAAATCCCTCGCTGAATTGAATAGTAAACAAAACATTTGTAACCAAAATGCATGAAATCAGACAAGCAAAGCACAATATCCAAATATGCGAAACATAAACAGAACTTCAAAATTGCAAAAAAGTACTTACCAAAACCCATGCAATCACAAAATGGCGGCCACACCACGTACAAAAGAGGAAGCAAAAAATAAGCCGTTTTCAGTTCCAAAACACATACAAACACAACTCTACGAAAACCACATGGAAAAAAGAAAGCAAAATATAAGCCTGTTTGGGGCTTCTATAATTAAGACACAATAACACGCCAAACAAATACTAATTCAGAAGTCAAACAATAAAAATCAATTTTTTCTGATTTTTGTTTTTTGACTTCTGAATTAGTGTGGTTATAACCTGTTATATTTGCAAATAGCATCGTTTTAGTCACAAACAAGAGTTTTGAGATAGTCATCATGATTTTCTTTAGTTTTTGGAGTCAGTCATCCATCCAAAAAGTCTCTGAAGCAAGGAAAAAATTAAAATTTATTCCCCAGTGTAAATCGTTAGAATTATAACTGAACTCTGTATTTTTATATTCATTTATTTAGTTATTAATTTCATTTTGGATATTTTCTGTTATAGGACAACATATACTAAATAATATTCTGTTAAAGACATATGCACCAAATTAATAGTTTTGTTAAGAGAACATTACTCGTGCTTTGACTGATTCATATTAAAAAATAACAAAATAAAGATCAAATTATGTTTTATATATATTATGAAAAAATATACAGGAAGTAAAGACAAAAGTCCATTTCAACAATTTTTAACTAACATTGCTGTGTATTGAACACTTAAATTAAGTATGTTTTTCCTAACTTGTACAACAACACACACACACAACAAACAGCAGTGTTCTTTTCCTCCCCTCCACCTAGCGTAAGCATTGTCAGAAAAAAAAAAATAATGGCTCTATTGAAAATACTTTGCTTATTGAAATAAATAACCTTTAGAGACATATTTTATAGGAAAATTATACTGCAGTGCTGTTTTGTCATGGAAAAGATAGATCTCTTTTCCTTCCTTTATTTAACCTAATTAATGCAATTATTTTATTTTAGTTTTGTATTATTTTGTGATTATGCAGCTTAATTGCTGTGTTAAAATTTTTTTCAAATATTTCACTTAGAGATATCTCATGATGTTTCTGATTCACAAATGCCCCAGTTTGCACCTGTTATTTTACCTGAAATGTTGAAAATTTTCCTCCAGGATCAGGTATGACTTTTATTAAAAATATATATATATTTCTGAAATTTAATTTTAACAATTATTTATATTTGCAAATTTCATTTTATTGAGAAAGCTTTTCATGAAATTTAGCATTACTATATAATGCCTTGGTGTATATATATATATATGTGTGTGTATATGTATATATGCTTATATATATATGTGTATATATATATATATATATATATAAGCATGCATATAGTGGATTAGAGCATTATATCCACTTCTGTAATTAAAATTAATCACTAATGGGCCATCAAAAGAAGTTACATAAGAAAAATGGACATTTCAAAATTTCTAAAAGTATCTTGTGTTATCTGGCGTCAGTGACATCGCTGTTCAATTTTCCATTCCTGTGTAGTAAGGGGTTGAATCTGAGTCTGCATAACATAAATTTGTAAACTTTGGGATATTACGAACTTGTGAATTTGGAGGTTTTATCATATCATACATAATTCAATGAATTTTGAGGTTAGGGCAAACCCTGAACTCTTCATTCAAGAATTATAAAATTGTCAGGCAGTGTGATATGGTGTTTTTCTGTTGAAAAAAACTGATATCTTGTTAGAGTATTATTGCATGAAAATAATCACTGATGTGAAAGAAATCCCTTGTCTGTAGTTGTTTTCATATGTGTATGAAATGTATAAGTATTTTCAAATATAAATTTTATTTTCTGGTAAGACACATTGAACCATTTGTACATTAATTTCACTACAGTGATAAAGGGTAAGGCTTTTAGTGAAGTGTTCAATAATGCATCTGAAAATTACCGATTTAAGTAATTACCAAGAATTTAACAAGGTTAAGAAAGAAGTATATTAAGTGAAGTATTTCTCTGAAATTTACGTGCAGTAAATCTTTACTGAGTATGGGTTTACGGAATGCAATTTTGCATATATTCATTATCTTAATTGTTTCCATTTAATTTGTCCCAATGCTAGAATTTTATTCATATGTAGTTCAGTGTTCATTCTTCAACATCTTGCTGGTATCAGCTCTGGCCAGAAGTTAACAGTAATTTTAAAGGATTTCTCCCAAATGAAAATAATGCCAAAGAAATCCTACATGTTTCAAAGGCAGTTAGTTTGTGATGAAGGATTTTCAAATCTAGTAGGAGAAAAGCAAAGAATGATTATTTTGGAATGCCAACCGAATAGTGAAAAAAGTGATATTGAAGACAAAGCACCTTTAACTTATGAGAAGATAATAAAACAGGAATTGTCTGATTTTGCAATGGAGTTTTACCCATTTGAAGAAAAGAAAAGTTTCAATGCTTTTATGAGAGGTATTGAAAAACTCTGCTCTCCTTACCGCGAAAGAGCTGCATCGGTCATCGTCCCAAACAAAAATCTCTAGCTTTTTTAAAAGATAATTGTATCATATGCTTATTAAATAGTAATGAAGTTCCCTTCAATTAGCATTTGCTTCCTTTTTTCTGTTTTAATTACACTAATATTTAGTTTGCACGAATTATACACATTTTCTTATTTTAATTGTACCTAATTTAATTTTTTTCCCTCCCTAATAAATGAAAGGCAACAGCCATTTTCAAAATGACTGGCAGCAAATTAAAAATTTAGCATAAAAGCAATCAATCAGTAAAATTAAAAAAAGCAAGAAACATTGATAATAAAACACTTATCTTATTCAAGAAATCATTGTAGCTTCAAAAATCATCAGAGAATTCCACAAACTTGCCATTGTACAGTATTCGCATTGTCCACTGACTCAAACAGACGTGGGCTTCATACATATCTGGGTATGAAGCCCACGTCTGTTGCCCGTGTCTGAAGCCACATACCTGGATTATGTCATGTATACTTTTTGGTGATGCTGTGAGTTGCCATTTTTGGTGACATTGTACTTTGCTTCATTAATACTTTTTCACAGTATTTCATTGGGAGTGCAGATAATTGGAATATACCAAGTTATTGCAAATTTTTATTTATATAAATCAGAAAAAGTATCTGAGCTTCACTTAAAGTAAATATAAATTTCAGAATACAAGAGAAGAAACCAAGACTGTTTAATTTAAAATATGGTATTATCAAATACAAACCAAATTCAATTAACATTATTGAGTTAAACATTTGACAGCTAATTTAAGGGGGGGAAGTGCTTAAATGATGTTTTAGAAACTTGGTATTATTATTTTTTTTTTTACTTTGGCGTAATTTGAGATATAATTGAACTATGGGAAAAAATTGGCATGTCATTTCTGAAAAGCTACAATTTTGCATCAAAATAATTATGTTAGAACAAATGCTGTATATAAATTCAATGTAAATTCCAAGTCATGCGTTTGAGACATGAAAAATGGACGTGGAATTTTGGCAATCAGCATACTAGATTGAAAGAAATAAACTGGCCCACCCCCATTTTAATGCATTGTACATTTTATATATGATAGCTTGTTTTAGCAAGTAATATTTTCTTTTCTTTTTTACCATTTTAGAAATATGGTATTCGAACTAGAGGTAGAGCTGTTGAAATTTTCACTACATGTGCAGGAATGATTGCTACTATGTCTCCTTATAATAAGGTAAGTGTTTTTATGTTTATCCTTCATGTAAAGCTCGACAAATTGTTTTTTATTTTTACTCAAAAGACTGCTTATTTATTCTCCCTTTATTTCTTATTGGGAAAGTTTGTTTGGTATACTTCTAAAGATCTTGAGTGGATTAATGACGTTTACCAAGATATCTCTGTATTTGGATAAGAGATAAAATTTATTGATTTTTATATACGAGGGCTATCCAGAAAGTAGATTACGTTTTGGAATAAAAAAATAAACAAAGTATAGGAAACAAATTTTATTATATACAGATGAAAGCCACACTCAAATACTACTTTTCTACATAGTCACCATACAAATTAAGGCATTTATCGTAGCGATGTACGAGCTTGGAAATTCCTTCGTCGAAAATTCGGCCGCCTGCGCCTTCAACCACTTCGTTACCTCTTCTTGCCTTCCATCTTGCACAAAACTTGTGGTAACCAAGCTTTTCGCTGATGATTTCGTGCAACAAACTTCGCGAAATTTGTGGAAAACTCAAAGAAAGTTCCGTTATTGTGAATTTCGATTTTCACGGACTTTAGCATCGACTTTTTCGAGAAGTTCGGCGGTCACTATGCTGGGTCTCCCACTTCGATCTTCGTCGTGAACATTGGTTTCGGCCATTTTGAAATCTTATGACCCACTGACGCACTCCACCTTCAGTGATAATGTTTGTCCCCATACACTTCACGAAGCTGGCCGATAGATTTCTATCGGTTTACAGTTTTTTGCAGTCAGAAACCTTATTACTGAGCGCAGCTCGCGGGATTTTCAATTAACGCAGACATTTCAAACCGTCACAGTATCTGAACGGAGCACAGCACGAACCTCTCACTAGCACGGCTAGATGCAGACTGAGCTGCGCAACGCTCTGACCCCAAGATGGCCGCGCTAGCCCCGCCCCTAGTGGACACAGACGGAAACGTAATCTACTTCCTGGATGGCCCTCGTATATGTAAATGTAGTTAGAGGATATATTTTTTCAAATATTGTAAAGTACTTTTTATTTTGTAATTTACTGTGATGAGAACAGTATTTAAGGGAATTATCCTGTAATGAATGCATGAAGCAATTTCTAAATTTTAGCCTTTTTAATGCATTTTCAAAAATATTCATTCGTATACTTACCCTGGACTGATATTGTAATTGATAGGATGAAATTTATATGCTGTACATATTTAATATTAACTGGGTAGTAAAAAGTAAGTATACAATCGCAGTAATAAAAATTATTGCTGAAATGAAAGGCTAGCTATAATAAATGAAATGCCATGACGATTTTAATTCATGGCTTGTCTGTCATGAGCATAGTAATTAATATTTGTAATAAGGAAATTCTGAAGTTTTAACTAAAGTTGCATTGCGTGCAAACTACAAGTTATGCAGTTTAATTACTAATTTTTAGGTGAGTTATATTTGGTGATTTTAATCAAATCTTTGTTTTTAACTACCTAATGCTCAGTCACACACTTGGATATGCAGCAAATTGCTCTGTTAACATATTAAGCAAAAATTGTTAAACTAGTGTCCAAACAGCAAAAGTAAGAGAGAAAAGCATGAAACATGGTTAATTATGAAAAATCAAGAAGGAAATTCAGAAAAATTTTGATCTCTATTCGTCAACTACATGCATTTCAACGCGTCTTGCTAAGAATACTCATATTGTATGAATAATACAGAATGAATTACCTTCAGTCAGACCTAACACAAATAATTATCCTGTTTCACATGTATGGGTATTTTCTGTAGATATATGGTGCCTGTATTTAAACTACATAATGATCTTTTTCTTGCATGTACTTACGTTTTACTGCTACTTTATAATGTGTGGACTGCCAACTAGGAGATAATTTGTAACAGCATTCTGGCTCTGGATGCCCAAGTATATGCAACTATATGAATATATATATTTCAACTACTGATATATTTATATGAATGTTCTCATAGTAAATATGCTTTAATTATATATACTAGACACCTGAAGTAACACATTCAATAAGTCCCATGACTAAGTAAGACAACAACATCCATTTCACAAAATTCACGTTTATTCATCAACACAATCACCATCAAAATCTATGCAATCATTCCAACGCTTTTGTAACTTTTTGATACCATGCTTGTAAAATGATTTGTCCTTGTCCACGAAATAAGCTTCAGTGGCAGTGATGATTTCCTCATTCGAGTCAAATCTTTTTCCCTGGAGCATTTTTTTAGATCAGCAAACAGCCAGTAGTCGCTTGGAGCTAGATCTGGGGAGTATGGTAGGTGGGGAAGCAGAGTGAAGCCCAACTTGTTCAATGTAACTAGTGGCACGGTGCATTGTCTTGATGGAAGCTGATTTTCCATTTGGAAAATACTTTTTTCGTGCTCAACTTTTCATGTAAAATCCTAGACATGCTTCCAGTTGATATGTTTACTATCTCACCAATCTCACGAACTTTCACTTTGCGGTCATTCATTACGATTTTCAACACGTGTTTCACAGTGAAACATTCAAGAACAACCTAAAACACTTTTTTTAAATTACACAGTATCATTTTATTGTGATTATTGATTAAGGAAGTAACATTTTAGTTGTGTGCTGGCTGATAAGGCTCTGCGTGCCAACTGTGGCATACGTGCCATAGGTTCACTATCACTGCACTAGGACGAAATTTTTTAGTCCCTGATGACTCCACAATAGTAGCAGCAATTTCTTTTTTTTTTTTTTATGGGGAGAGGTACTGCTTTCCTCCCCCTTCCACACTTTCTAGCAAACGATCCAGTCTAATTGAATACTTTTACCATTCTTCACACTGAATATGGTGTCAAAGGACTTTTTCCTTTATGCATTCCTTTGACATGCCTAAATTCATGTAAAGCAGCTGCAGCATTTGAGCTGTTAACATAGAATAGTTTAAAACCAAAGCGTAACTGGCAAACTAAGTGGCATCTCGTACCACATTACTGGCAGAGATGACCACTTTTTGATTTTGCTGATGGTTACGGTGTCATTTGCACTGTCAACTCCATGTATTGGCGATTGTTGCAACTAACTTTTTTTATTATTCCATTCGTCTTCCCCCTTCTCGATTAGTAAGTACCAATTTTGGTTTTCGGATTATTCCTTCAAGCTTAGACAGCTCCAAATAGAGATACTTATTTTATTATCACCCGGTATATCTTAATCAAGTTGAGCAGCTTCAAGAAGCATAAAAAAATTTTGGCAGCAGTCTGAAAAAAGATTTAAAACACACCGAAACAAAAATTTAGAACTGTAAAAAAATAAATTGCACTACTTTTATTTTGCTTTAAGATAAGTCATATATATCCATGAAGAAATTTAAACATTGAATCATATATTAATGTGACCTTCTCCCATGTTAGACATCAGTTACAAATAAAAAATAACATAAAGCATGTGTTGGCAATAGATTTAGTGGGCATATAAAGTGTGTTGTTTGAATTCAGAGAAATATTTAAGTTGTTGTCATGAGTAAATGTAACATTTATCAGATTTACAAAAAGGAATGTTTATTACTTTTCAGGCTACGGATAGTAGCATTTCAAAGATTATATAATTTATGAACTGTTTACTTGTTGCTATGTTGAAATTGTACCATACATGGCATGGTAATGACAGTTCATCTGCAGATGAGACCGGAATTTACATTGGCAGTATTAAAAGTGAGTCTCCCTGATTAGCAGAAGGTTGCTTTTCATGATGATGACTCATGTCTTTTGCTTTGTCGAAAGAATGGGTTCTGATGTATACAGTGAAAAATATCAAAGAATAAATATTGGTCTAGGGAATGTTTTTGTGGTATTATTCGAGTATTTTCGTCATTATAGATTGCGGTAAGTATGCATTGATTCTTGCAAACTATGTGTTTCCTTATATGTGGAATTTTTTCGCCCTGGAAGTGATGGCACCTTCCAGCATTATAATGCAACATGGCAAACATTTAAGGGTATATGTGAATGGTTAGAAGAGCACAAGGGAGACTTTCTGTACTTCCCTGGCCCTTTTATCGGGCATAAACCAAATGAGAATTTTTAGGACCTCCTCTATCAAGTTTCTGAATGAGTCCTTTGTCATGTACCGTCCAGCATGTGTAAACTGCATAGCATTCAGCATAGTTCTATATCCCTGTGAGCATGTTTTAGCATCTTATTCAGTCCCTCCCAGCCCAGTTAGCTGCTGTCTGCTGTATGCTGTATGCATGGGATTTTTTTTACATATTGTCGTATAGATGAAGTGATCAAAAGTGACAAATGAAGAGGAAAGTACTCAAGTCTCAACTCAAGATTTTATTAGTCGGACCATAATAAATAATTAATAAGTAGCCACTTATATACACTTGATGAACAAGCTGGAACATTCTAGACTTGGATGGTTCTGGAAAATTGAGAACATTCTCTAATAAATGAAACATAAAGGAAATAAATTAACAGAAAAGAAATTTGAGCAAAACCCAATTTTCATGTGACTTGCATTTGATAAGTTTCAAACTCAGGACCTTCAGTTTCTGAATCCAACGTCTTACCCACTAAGCCTCGATGTGCATAGTCAAAAGAAATAATTTTTGCTACAATATTATAGTCTATTACTTTAAAATAAGAACTTGAAGGTTATTTTCCACTACCACCTGTAATCATGGAAGCAACAAGTGTGAATAAAAAGGCAATTCACTTAATTTTTCCCCCTCTTCATTTCTGTTTATTATATTTCACTTCTTGAGACACACACAAATGAAGGCTGACTTTAATTGCAATCTCAAATGATGTAGAAAAAAATAAATGTGTGGTGATGACAGCTTAAATTTTCTTCAAGGAACCTGTTTAAAGAATGCAAGACCTAGCCACTCAAATAAAATTATTACATTTGAACTCGTAAAACAAATTCATGAATGTATAGAGTAGATCATTGGGTGAATTTTGCTACCGTAAAATTTTACACAGAATACTCCTAAAACCACACTATCCACTTGAAGGGAAACCAATTGCACAATAGTGCATACTAGAGCACAATACTGCGCATCACGATATTGATCTTCTTGGATATTTCTGATTGTGTGATGTGATAAAGTTGTTTTTGTTGTGTAACATCCATAAAAGTCAAGCAACATTTGAAAAAGAATACTTACATTTTTTCTGATCGAGGACATCACTTTTTCATTTTATCAAACCAAACAGAAGCAGTTAAATTCTGTGATGATAAAGCTGAAGTATAAATGAAAATTAAGTCTGTTCTGTCGGTTGACATGGTGAATTCATTTGAACTAAAATTTTAATTACATGTATAATTTTTTAATTTCAATCATTTAGGATTTGTTATTATCTACTTTTAAATTATTTGTAAGTTAGGACATTTGAAAGTTAACCGTATTTTCAAATTATACAGATCTGAAAGGTTTAACTGTTCTTATGGAGTTTTTCATGCATGTATATATAATGATAGCATAAATTTTGGAAGCACTATGAGTAGAAATGCTGATTGCGTAGAGACGTGATGCTTAGAGCATCCATCCATTTTTGAAGAAGAATCAGTCGACCCGGATTAAATTCCTTTTATTTATATTTCCCATTTTGTGGCCGCAATTCACTTGGCACTCTACTTATGCCTATTAAAGAACATTTACAGTTTCAATATTATTGTCATAGAAGCGAATATAGCAGGACGCACATGATTGCAGAAAGACGTCTGGCCAAGAGGAAAGCACATGCAAAAGTGATGCATCAGTTCATAGAAAGAAGGGAGGGAGTCAAAAGTTTCAGTTTTTATTTTTGGTGTACAATTTGGTGATTGGTCAAAAGGCATCTGCATTAAGGGTTATGTGAGACTGCATGATGAATTTGAATGACGCAGTTTAGACTTACAGTGCTATTTTTAGGACAGATAGATGAAGCTCCCAAATGAAATAAAAAATATAAGAGGTTATAGTGAATTCAGTTTAGAAGTTTTGCTTTTCATATTTTTTATCTTGCATATATATGTGAGAAACTGCAACTTATATGCAAAATATGTGAACCTGAAAGATAATTATATAAAAGTTATTGTTCAGTGCTTAAGTTATAAGATAGTAGTATTTGAAATGTTGAATATTACATTTTGTCTCAACAAAGATAATCAGTTTCTAGACAGTATATTTCTAACTTTGCTTAAGATTTGCTAATTTTAGTTTGACTATGCAAACAATTTTCATTATCATTTACTTTTTCTATTTATTTATTTGTTTGTTTATTTTTTGCTTTATTTTAATGTATATTATATTACTCTTAAAAAATTTTGTCTTTAAAGTATAATTTGTGTCTGAAATCTTACAGACTGCTGCTAAAGCATTACTTTTTCCTATATTAACACCTTTTACTGAAGCCTTAGTTAGTGCCTTAAAAACACCTGATGGCCTGACATCAGACAGTGGTTTGAAAAAGGATGTTTTGAATGTGAGTATTTGTATCTGTAATTTAAATTATTAATGGTTTTGAATTTCATAGAAATTTAAGTTGCATATCACTGTTAAGTTATTATTTGGTCCATTATTATAGAAACTTCGTTATGTGGTTAAATTCATGTGTGAGAAAATTTATAATGTTCTTTCTTATATGACATTAGAATCATTTACACTGTAAAATAATGAACTCTTTGTATACAAATAAAATGCCTAAATTTTATGAATTGTTAATTTTCTGTTACAGTTTTGAAAAACATATGCAGACGTTGATATTGCTCTTATATTTTTATGTAGCAATTAAAATAATTATAGATTAAAGTAATTTCTTTCATAACATGTTCAGTTTTACAAGTACTCATTCTTAATCCTTTTTGAAGAGAAAAATATGTTTTGTTATAATTTCTCTAGTTAATTTATTTTTATTTTTCTATAATTTGTCATTCTTTTTTTCAACCTGAAAGATTTTTACTTTTTTTGGAAATGTTCCTTGATGTATTGTGGAAATTTAAAACATTATGTTAGGTAATGTAATTGCAGACTGTAATTTGCTATCGTCCCAAAAAGTGCTGATGTGTCTATAACTTGATTATAATAGTTTCCCCCCCTCCAATGATTAAAAAATGCAAGTTTTGTAATAATTTTTAAAAATTGACTATTTTTCCCATCTTAAAGAGTTACTGCATAAGATGTGATTAGTGGATACTATTATATGATTAAAAGTAATTTTTTATAATTATGAATCTATATTTCAGAAGGAGATGGATAATTCGAAGGAAGGTTTTGAACCTTTTATACCGAGTAATTTATGGTGTAAAATTATTGTTGTGAAACTGGAAAACAACACATTTAATAACAGCACATAATATTAGTTGTGATTAAAATTTAATGCACTTTATTTTTAAAATAGAATTATTAATAATAGCTTTTTGTAAATATGCTAATCAGTTTTTATGTCGATTTTTATCCTTCTTTGTGAGATAACCCCCCTTTTTTTAATTTGAATGGATGTAGTGAACCAAACTATTGGTCACCTGATGCTTATAGAGTTCAACTGTTTTATAAAAGTGCTGTATGAAAAGTGCATAATTTTAACCCTTTTTTAAAATCCCTTTCCCAATAAAATTTAATGAAAATTCTTAAAATTTGATCAGGAATTTATGAACCATAGAAAAGCTTTATAAAATTACATGCTTGATTATGCACATGCTAATTTTGATGTTTATTCTCTCTCTGGATCAAATTATAAGTAAATGAATTTTTTTTTTTAAATTGAGTTTTTCACATTTGTTTTAATAACTATTTATTGTTGACCTGTCAATGGTTGAAAAGTAAAGCTGTTATAGTAGTTTTAACCAGAAGCAAAAGGATGTGGATACACAATATGATTAAACTAACAATTCAGACTTTCACTTTATTTTATTGTACCTATTCTGTTTAAACAAAACTTCCCCTGCAGAAGTTTTTATCCTACTAGAACAAAAATTATTTAACTCCATATTTATACTTTTCAGTTTGTTTTCATAACAGTGTAAATTTTGTTATTTTTTAACAAATATTAATATCATTTTAGTATTTTAGAAAATGAGTTTGAAAATAGTATTATACTGGTATATAAAAATTTAAGATGAGACAAATAATCACATATAATGTTGTCCATCATTGTCAGTACAAAGCATTTCCTAACATAATTAATACACAGCATATTCTAGTATCATCTAGCTCTAAAACTATAGGAAACGTGAACAATACTAATTGAACTAGTAACCCCAAAAAATGCAGGTTCCTTTATTCAAAAATACAATCTGAGTAGAAAAAGACAGAAGATAAAAACTTCCAAATTACAGGCAGCAGGCATGAAGACTAATTAATAAAAAATTTGATTATGCATAATCCTGCTGTGTTCATGCTGAAAACAAAATCATCAAGTTTTGAGATATCATAGTCAATTATTCTTAAAGCATCAAATGCAGCTGCAGATTTTATTGCTGGTGATATGATGCTAGTATTTTCAAAGAAGATCTCACACATTTTGATTGCTAGTCTCTGGGCCATGTAGTGTGACCTATTTAGTGAATATCTTCATTCTCCAACAACTCAGCAGCCACAATCCATAAAGAGGAATTGAACCACATTTTGATTGTTTGTCTGTGGACCATTTGGTGAATATCTTTATTCTCCAACAACTCGGCAGCTACAATCCATGAAAAGAAACTGAGGGCTTATAACAATGAAGATACATGAGGAAAAATATCGATCCCAAAGGACTAAATTAGTAACTAAATCTCTCTGGACGATGAGAAGTTGTGTGCAGCTACCAAGCATTATGCTTCTCCAAAAGAGAATTTTGTCATATACAAACCAGTTTCTTTCAATAATGTTGCAAGAGTGACTGAATGTTTCTGATTTATGAATGTTATGTAGATGTTTACACATTCAGAATCACCACTGAGACTAAATCAAATCTGATCTATCAAGAGCACTCAATTTCATTCCTGAGTTCCTAGTCTTAATATTCATGGTACCACAGAAAATATCAACTATAATATGTATGTGTCAATGGTGCACACTTATTGGTCTTTGAGCAAGCAAATCATCTGTTTGCAATATCCTAGCCACAGTAAAATACAATATTTGAAGCACATTGCACGAAGACATAATGGCAAGTAAAGCATTCTCATTGCCTATGGAGGGAAGATGTCTTTGAAGGTTCAAGAAGAAGTTGTTATCTTTGTGTGCATGCACTTATGTAATATATTATATTGTATGAGGTACAGTTTAATTATTTTCATCTTAGGGATACACTATGATAGAAGTTTGTAGATCATTGGTATAGATAATGTTGATTTCAGGACTGCATACTGAATATATCGTACTGGAACAGCAGTATGATGTCATCCAAACTGATGTGCAATGCACAATTATTTTCTCTGAACCACTAGTAGCATACACCATCTTTCTGGTTTACATCTGTCATACATGTGCACAATATTCTTGTTACATGTACCATCTCATACTGAAAATTAAACAAATGCCCTAACTATTTTTCAATTGGTTCTGCCTGTTCATTCTCCTGCTGTGTTAATTTCTTGACCGATCCCTAACCCACCAAACCCTGTGTATACATTGAAAAATGTTTATCGTGATACCTTTAAGTACACTGACACATATCTTTAAATGTATCTAGACAAAAAAGCTAGCATAAATAAGTATCAAAGTATGAAGCAGGAGCGTCGGTTTAGAATTGTAATCAAGAAAATTTCATTTACTTGACACTTTTGGGGAAGTTATGGTTAATCTTTGAATTATGGTAACTTGGCGATTTTTTGTCAAAAATTTGGCGACCAACCCTGCTACAGCAACCTGCTAGTTTTTGTTTGGACGCCATTTTGTTTTCACGAAGTAAAGGCATTTTTTTTTTTTTTTTTTTTTTACTCAACATTTTTTTCCAACAATCTGCTAGCCGAATTACGCTTATGCTAGAACTTTTATGGAACAAAAGTGCTTAATCATGACAAAGATTAGGTGCGAAATTGGGAGAAAGTACAGAAGCGCAAACTGCTTGCCGCATTTTTAAGAATTGCACATACACGGTATCCATGTACACGTCAACCTATTTTCACTTAAAAAAAAATCCCAGAATTGCACAAAAATGGCATTGCGCACACTCTGACTTTATCCATGTACACTGCTAAAGTCCTAGTTAGTAACCTTTATCGCCTTACCAAAATGTCGCCAAACTACCTGTTACCATATTCCAAAGATTAGCTGAAGTTATAAATATCGGAATAAAAGTCTCAAAGTACAAAGTAGGAGACTCATTTTGGAATTGTAATAAAAAAAAATCCCATTTACTTGTGACACTTTTGGTGAAGCTTAGTTTCTGGGCCAAACTCTTGATTACTTGGAAGATTAATTTTTACACCTGTGTATTAATGTTGTATGAAAAAAAAGCTTTCTTTTGAATATCATCCATAAGAATTTTACTTTTTTATGTTGCTTTTACCTATGAAGAATTCATTCAACGAAAATTACATGATTTTTTTTAAAGGCTTTAAAAATTCTGATACAGTATTTTCCAAAACAAGTGATGCAGTGGCTACCTCATATTTTAGCTCCAGTATGGAATTCCTTGACAGAAAGTGCAAATATGTATCCTTAATTTGTTCTTAATAACCTTGCTTGATTAAAAAATGTATTTTCGTTGATATACAGTACTCAACTACAATTTCAAAAAGTCAAATTAAAAGTATTAGTTATGGTAAAATATACATAGGTGAAGGAATATACCAGAGTTGGCCAAACATCATATCAGTAAGAGCCACACGTTTGAATTCAGGAATGTTCTAGAGCTGCATCTAGATTTTCTAAAAGCCACAAGTTCGTATTTACATCATTATACAAGTAGTGGAGGAGGTTTTAAATAGAAAGAAATCCCTGATAACTTTGTAAAAAGAGTTTAAACTAATCAATTACTTCCTTTTGGACACTGAGTACTTTTAGTTTACCATATTTCATACATATATTTTGTATGCATGAGCCATACAATTTGCCCGCGAGAGCCGTATCAGGCTCGCGAGCCGCACTTTGGCCACCCCTGGAATATACTGCATAAAATATTTTTGTTTAGTTTGTAATGAAGAGTTTATCATGCAGTATTTTTTAAAGCATTTCCATTAATGTAGGTGTTTTAAATAAATGGTACATTGAATTTTTATTTGTTGTAAACTTCTCATTACAACATTTTTTATCTTTTACTGTATTTGACGGCATATAAGACGTACTGGCATATAAGACGAACCCTTATTTAGAAGGCCACACACATGTAGATGTAGAAAAAGTTATGTGTGTCTAGACCTTTATCCGGGCTAAAAATAGCATTCAGTATTGAAAGTTAACCTGTGTCCTTCACGTATCAGACGCAGATAACTTTTTTTAGACCAAATTTAGGGAAAAAAAGTGCGTCTTATATGCCGTCAAATACGGTACTAGAAATCTACAACATTTTATCATTTCTTTCATTTCTGGAAAAATTATAAATGTGTATGAACTGAGAATCATTAATAATTAACGTGTTTGGTGATCAAAGAATTAAAAATTAAAATAATACTCACTGCAATTCATATTCTTTTATTTATCTCTCTTTTTAGGGAGCAAGATATATTTGTTATAAATAACAACTAATTGTAATCTAAAGGCATATCTAATTTTTTCCCCTTTTTACATCTTCATCATTAACATAATATTTTATATTTTTAGATGTTTGTTATTTGCTTTAATGTTAATTTGATTGATATACTTAGTATTGATAATATGTTGACTTTAAGATCTGTTGTAGGGGAAAAGAACAAGATGTAAAACAGATTTAATTTCTTTTCCTTTAATGTTTATCATCATATGCAATTTTCCATATACATGTTATCTTAATGGTCTCCATCTAAGTTGTCCAGTTCAAGAATTTCTGTTATACATAGTACATGGTAGAGAATCAGCAGTTTTGCAATAGTCCTCTTTAATGACTGATTTGAAAATTTATTCAAAGTCAAACCTTGCTTAGAACAGCTAAACCTGGGCTTTAAAGTTCTGCTAGTTTTCGATAATGGTCCAGAACACGTTGCTGAAGCCCTCACAACATTGCATTGAAATGTAGAAGGTCCTTCCATCGAACACCACTTCCTTAATCCGATCAATGGGTCAAAGAAACATAAAAACATTTAAAGTCTATTATGTTAGGCATGTTTGCATCTCTGCAAATAAAGCATGAGGCAAAGGAAAGGACAAGACACTAATGTCATTTTGGAAGCAATTCAGTATAAAACACTGTGTAGAAGTGATTAAACTCAAATGGAAACAGCAAATTCATCAACAGTGAGTGCTTGTTGGCATTAGCTCTGGCCAAAAGTTTTGAACATTTTAAAGGATTTTCATAAATTGCGAATGAGGCTAAAAAAATTGTATTTACATATTAAGCAACAATAGAAATCCTTTCAGCTAGCATTTGTTTCATTTTTCCCTTTCAATTATTATAACATTTAGGTTTGTATAAATTATACTTACTTTCTTAATTTGAACTACACCTAATTCATATTTTCCATTGAGAGTTAACTTCACAAAATGCAATTTGCTGTAAATAGCATATGCTATTAAAATTATTTCAAAATTATCAAAAACTATTCTTGCAAAAACAGCCAACTAAGTGGTATAAACTATATCAGTCGATTCGTCTATTTGCAAGAAAAAATATCTGCAGCGATCAGATCAGGTTTTTTGGTTGTGAGGCAACGTCAGGACTCATAACCTCAACTCTTCTCATTACTGTGTTTGTAGAACAACTAATGTTATCAGCAGAACTACGGCCAACTGAGGCAGTATCAACTATATCATTCTATTCATCTGGTTGCAGGAAGAAATATCTGTAGTGATCAAATTCAGTTTTTTAGTTGTGAGGTAGTGTTAGATCTCATAACCTCAACTCTTCTCATTTCTGTATTTACTGTATAGATTTAATAGCAGACATTATCTCATTTATATTTTTGAACACATCAAATAATGCATCTGCAGCTTCAAAAAATGCAGTTTTGATTATTTCACTGTCTTCATATCATTTCTTATTCTGTGCAATAATATTTGAAACTCGGAATGGCACCTCAGTTGCTACTTTATTCTTGCTTAATGGTTTTTAAAAAGTTGATTGTCGAGTATTAAGTTAAAATTTTAGTTGCTCAACCTTTTCTTTCCATAGAGTAGAATTCAGTGGGAAAATCTTTTCAATCCCTGCATGAACAGTTTTCAAGTGACATTCAACATAACTGATACACTTGCATAGTATAGTAAACACACTCATTTGTCCTTTACCTGGGTAAAGAGATAATCGGTTTCTCATCTCGAATGAAAGTGATACGTTTTTTGCTTGAACTCGCCATAATTAGAACAGACTTAGCTTAGTACCAATGTATAAATCAAACAATCTAAATTAGCAAATGTCTGATATACACACGATAAATATTAGCGTACATAACCTCATACGTATAGAATCAACTATGAAGTGAGGCTGTTATTGGCAGTTGCGCGGAAGAAACAAGCAGTTGTCATCAGCGTCAGCTCGGTGGAAGAATCAAGATTAGCCAACCAGATCTTTATCGCTATCTACTGAAAATGTCCCCGCGAGCTACTAGTAGCTCACCATCGACAGTTTCACAATCACTGATCCAGTGAAATATGATAAAAAACTTTTTTTTTTTCCACATCAATTAAGGCAAAACATTTAGACAAATTTTTGACTATAGCTGATCCGGAGAAGGACTCTGATAATGCTATCTTTAATAAAGTTTTATGGTATCAAGAATCAAAACAAATTCTGATAGTGTTGTCCTTTTTGGTAATAATAATAATAATTTTAGTTGGCTTTGTAACCCTTTCTCTGATTTCATTTTGTTCCATTTTCAACAATTTTTAAATTTCTAGTACTGTTAGTATTTTTTTAGTAGCTGTGAAGTCTGCTCCTTCAAAATTGCTCCACATTTTAAATAAATACATTTAATTACATTATATTACATAGTACGGTTACATAGCAAATACGCGTTACACAGCTCTTCACTACATTCTCAAAACCCACGCCAACTCTCACTCAAATCGAAACTTTTCTCACACATTTGAGGGGTGCTACAACATCCTCTATGGGAGATCTCAACATACTCCTCATGGATGACCGTTCAGGACATCAAACTACCTCTTACATGAAATTATTACTTAACATTGTTCTTAGTAAACATATAATTTCTAGATTAAAAAGTTCTTGCTTATAAATGAGTAATACTAAGTATAAACAACAATATAAATGTAAACAATGAATTACACAAAATTAATAACATAAATATGTACAATAACATTAAAACTTAGAGAATTCAAATGAATATCGATGAATATCAAGTTAAAGTTCAAAATTTTTCACGATACTTAACTGTCTATTGGTAACACACACAGTTTGTGAATGGGTCTCTTGAATTCACCATCAGCAGTTTTTACTTTTACAACACGAACTCTGTAATCATTACCTGGGTAAATTTCAGTGATATGTCCCAGTTTCCATTTTAAGGAAGGTGTGTTATCTTCCTTAATGATTACTAAGTCATTTACTTTAATATTTGCTGAAGCACGATGCCATTTTGTGCGAACTTGCAGTTGAGTCAAATAGTCCTTAGACCATTTCCTCCAGAAGGACTGCGACATTTGCTGAATTAGTTTTCAACGATTGTGAAGTGTTAGTGTCTCGTCACACACATTTGGTTCCGGAATAGCCTTTTAATGATGTTCCTATTAAAAAATGACCCGGTGTAATCACGGAAAAATAATCTGGATCACTTGAAATCACTACTAATGGTCTTGAGTTCAGACATGTCTCAACTTCTGCTAGATGAGTAGCAAATTCTTCAAAAGTTAGAACTTGAGAATCAATTGCTCTTCTCATAGGATATTTCATAGCCTTTACTGTGGCTTCCCATAGTCCACCAAAGCGCGGCGCAGAAGGCGGATTGAAATTTCACTTAATTTCTTCTTTTGTTAAGTATCTAACTACCCTTTGGTTCGAATGATATGATTTCAGTTGTCTGTTGGCACCTATAAAATTAGTGCCGCAATCACTATACATTTCCTTCGGTCTTCCACGTCTAGCAATGATTCGTTTTAGAGCTGCTATGAAGGAATCTGTCGTCATGTCTCCAACTTGTTCTTGCCTTAGTACTAAAACATACGAAAACACAAACGTAGATCTTCACTGTCCGAACACCGCACCCTTTCCTCGGTTTAACTTGGAAAGGACCCGAAAAATCAACACCACATTTCGAAAAAGCTCTTTCGAGATTCACTCTGGATGCTGGAAGATCGCCCATTGCTTGATATGACAGCTCACTTCTGTGTTGACAGCATGTTACACATTTACGAATGATCTTGTGAATGGCTGCTCGTGTATTAATAATCCAGTATCTCTGCTTGATTTCTGAATGGAGCATTTGTGCTCCTCCGTGAAGATATTTATAGTGATAATATCGTATTATCAGTTCTGTAATATAGTGGGATTTAGCCAGAATGACTGGATATTTTACATTCTGTGCGATGCTAGCGTTTCTTAGTCGTCCTCCCACTCTTAGAATACC